CCCCAAAACCCCAAAACCCCAAAACCCCATGCTCTTAAAATAGCTTTAAAATTAGATGAAATTATAATATTAGTAAAGTAAATTGCTTTTTATGAGATTTTTAGTGAAATTCCAGCCAAGTTATAGGCCTCTTTCAAAAGCAATAATCACACAAAGTAAATTTCCTAATCTTTTGACAAGATTAAGCTTACTACACCTGTAAAATATGATAGAATTTAGATGACTGATATCTTAATTCAGCAAAATTGAACATATTTACCGTGCTTACTAGATATATTCTCGTAATCTCTTTCGACTTCTAATGCTCCATAGGAAGGCAATAGATAATTTAAGCTGTGTATTTATCTGAAAGGTATCCTTTCTTTGTAATAATCTTGATTATTTTCAAAAGCAAATAAGTCAGTCTAATAAGATGAATTTTCATTTCCTCCTAAAATTTCATCGGATGATTTTTAAGAAGCATATTTAATGCTGAATCTGGTAAAAAGAGCAGCTAAAGCAGAACTCAATAGTCCACTAGATATATAAGCTGGCAGAAACTTCAAATAAAATGCAGTATTATATAGATAGCCAGTGAATAATATATTGACAAATGGTAATGTTGGTCCAAGAGCTGCACTTGTGATTGGTCCGATGCATTGAACACAGAAATACAAGGAAATCATTGTTGATAAAGCACCTATAACTTAATCATTGATTATGCACAGCTATTAATCTCTATTATGAAGGACCACTATCAAAAATAGCGTTGTAAAGAAAGTCTCGCAGGCAAATATAAACATAGGATCACTGTCAAATTTTATAGGAACTATCCATACTATTTTTTTAGGATCCATAAAGTAGGTGAAAATGTATGCTGCAAGACAACCAGCTATTGAAGAAAAAAAGTAATTGCAAAGATCCTTTTTATTGATTTTATTTTTATGCCAATCCACGAGGTATATAGCAAGAGTCACACCAAAGTTAAGATGAGCACCAGTCCTACGCCCAGTTACCACACTGCACATCAATAAACCGCCACAGACTATGATACAATTGTAGCCACTGAAGTTTATTATAATAGTGATAAGAAATGTCCCGAGAAATTCGAAAAAGAACAGCTAGACGTTGCTCTTGTAGAAGACTGACTTCTCTGAAATTACGTCCATCTAAATTATAAATAGATTATTATTATTAATTATTACACGACATTCATTCTATATGATTATAATTTATTTGAGTAATAATCTAGATTCTATGATAATCCTTTTATTGCCTGATGGGGTTTTGGGGTTTTGGGG